TTTTTTTTTTTTTTTTTGGTATAGCACGTAGTTAATATATACTTAATTGTAATTTTTTAAAAATAAAATAAAAAAAAATGACAACTTGTTCGATTCGACCAATCGAGTTTGCATTTTTTTTTAATTGAAATCACAACCAATATAGAGTTTTTCTTTAATTGTAAGAAACGGGAGAAAAACGAGTGCGGTCCCACGCAGATGAAACGCACCAAGACAAGGAAAGCCTATATGAAACTAATTGTTTTTGAGATGGAACCTCACTTAGGTTTCATCTGGGCTTTTCTTGCTTATAGTGCGCTTCACGTGCGTGAGACCACACTCGTTTTTTCACCCGTTTTTTACATGGTATCAGAACCGGTTCTATTGGGACCGTGCGATGACGTACCCGTTTGTGGGAGTCTGTTTCTAGTAGGGCTTGGGCACCCAGGTTCATATGACTTTCTTATTAAGGACGCACAAGTTAGAGGACGTATTAGAATATTTACTTGTGAGTTGTCTCATATCGTTTATATGGAAAAAATAGACCTAATTTATAAGTCTAATGGGCTATTACTCCCTCCACCAATTGGTTTTGGGATGCAACCTCACTTAACTTTCATCTGGGCATTCCATGTCTTGATGCGCTTCATCTGTGTAGAACCGCACTCTTTTTCCCCGTTTCTTACAAATCTTTGATCAAAAAATAAAAATAAAAAAAATAATACAAAAGATTGTTCGATGAGAAAATGGTGAAAAAAATAGTTTATTTGCAACTAATGAAATTCGAGTGCGTACCAAGTCAAAGATAATTAAGGTTACATGGAGTTGTTTTGCACACTAATTAATAACTAGTGTTGATACCCGTGTGATGCACGGGGTATACTATAGATTAATATTTTATTATTAAAATATTGTTAATTTATTTAATACAACATGATAATTGTACCAGACTCAATATATCAAGTCAGTAATAAATATAAATTTTGTTTGGATATCTTTTATAATTTATTTTACAGGTTTTGACTATTTAATATATAAATTTTACTATTTATAATTTTATAAAGTAGTATCGATATCTAGATATTAAATATGATGTTTGTATACAATTAATGGCTTACAAATACTTGTAAAATTACTGATTATCTTAATTTTATAACTTTTTGAACAAATCATATTTTGCATATGCTCGATAGCTAACTAATGTTTTAACCGTAAAATTTATTTTACGTTATTCTAATTTTAGATGCATGAAATAATAATTGTTTGATAATTAAATTTAAATTGTAGTAACTTTAATCGCTTATGCAACACATTTTTCATAGTAAACTATTTATTTTTATTTTAAATTTTTTCGTATATATATATATATATATTTACTAAATATATTCAACATATATAATGAGTGTATTAATATCTAATTTAAATGTTTAAATAAATTATCTATTTCAATTATTATCAAATGCTATAATTTTTAATTATGATATTTGACTATATATATTATCCTATTTACTCATTTTTCTTTATTAAATAGTATATAGTAAGAATATGCTTTTTACAACTTAATCTCTTTTTTATGTATGCATATATTTCCAATGTTTATAATTCTTAATTTCACTCGACCATCAAATAATAATTTTATTAATATATTAAATTTAATTTTCAATAGTATATGTAATAAAATAATATATTCAATGAACATAAACTTTTTAATGGTTATGTTGACTATACTTTAGCAAATTTTGTTATTACTATAAATTATTCATTAAGTTAATATGATTCAAACACAATTATTCTGATTATTTGTTAGATATTTTAAGTACTTCTGATAGGTTATTATACTTAATAAAGTTAAAATTTACATCCATGAGATAATAATATAATTAATCAAATCAATATTTCAAATTTTGAATAGTGTTTTTAATTGTGTTAAAAATTACTACGAAATTAATATTAGGTCTTATTGAAAATATATGTCATCAATCAATATTATATTTAACTCAATTGATAACTAATGAATAGTAGTCAATGAGTAAACAAAAAATAATTAATGTTCACGTATAAAATTTGCTAATAGATAAAGGCTAAGTATATGCTAAATATAAATGAAAATATTTTTCCGCCTAAAACTATGTCAATTATAATAATAAGATTGGTCCATTATATAGATATAAATAACGATATAGATATAGATATAGATATAGATATTTTTAAAATAGTATAAAAGAAAACTTATATATTTTTAAAAAATTAAATAGCTTT